AAAAAATAAGTCCTCTCCACTTCTTGAAAATTAATTTAATCCTGATGGCAATATATTAATGAGAAGATATACATTTACAATTACCTTACATCTCCACAGAATCATCAATACTGGTATTCTACCTGCCCCATCAAGTCCTGATTCTATGGTAACAGATGCCATAAACAAGGGTTGTTCTGCCTTCTCTTTTGTTTTCTTTGCTTGTTTACTTGTGTGTGTTTGTTGTGCTGTTGTTGCTGCTGCTGCCAACATCTAAAATCTTTCCTCCTTCTGCTAATTTTTATGTCCTTTCACAAACTGCTTCTTCTTCAAAGTAAGACAGTATCAACCAAAAATGTTTTCTGTTCCTTGTTTCTTTCTCCACCTCAACACCAGAAGCCTCAATCTAGGGGAAATAGTACCTGACTTGGAAATGCATTCCCCACACCACAATTTCAGTCAACAACCTCAAATCCTTTTTGAAAAGGTGTTAGATATCAACAAGGACATTTGGGGTGACCTCAATGTTTTGTCCCTTTGCACATTGCCCTTCTCTTAGGCACCTTTCTTTCTTTCTACCTCCAGTTGGCCTCGGTGGTAGCTGGTCCATTTCAATTCACCCTACTTTGTCACCAGTGGCTTAAGATACGGCTATTCTCGTCCAGAACTGGACATCACAGAGCATCTAATGAGGACAATAACTGAAGCCAGGGCCAGGTCCTAACACACACAGGGGAAAGAAAAAAACTGCTGTCCATAGTTATACCATGGGTTGGCATTCTCTGTAAATATTTAATCTTGAGATAATTAGGCCAGGCATGGTGGCTCACATCTGTAATCCCAGCACTTTGGGAAGCTGAGGCAGGCAGATCACCTGAGGTCAGGAGTTTGAGACCAGCCTGACCAACATGGTGAAACCCTGTCTGTACTAAAAATACAAAAATTAAAAAAATATATACAAAAATTAGCCAGGCATAGTGGCAAGTGCCTGTAATCCCAGCTACTTGGGAGGCTGAGGCTTGAGAATCACTTAAACCCAGGAGGCAGAGGTTGCAGTGAGCCAAGGTCATGCCACTGTACACCAGCCTGGGCAACAGAGCAACACTCTGTCTAAAAAAAAAAAAAATCTTGAGCTAATTTAATTTTTAATATCATCCCTGAAAACAGCTAATTCCAGTCAGAAACTGGGCTAAATTGTCTCTGGGCCAGGCTCAGTGGCTCATGCCTGTAATCCCAGTACTTTGGGAGAATGAGGTGGGAGGATCAATTGAGCCCAGGGGTTTGAGGCAAGCCTGGGCAACATAGGGATACCCTATCTCTATTTTAAAAAAGAAAAGAAGAAACAAAGAGAGAATGAAAAAGAAACAAAGAAAGAAAGAGAAAGAAAGGGAGAGAAAGAAGAGAAAGAAAAAGGAAAGAAAGAAGAAAAAAGGAAAGAAAAGAGGGAAAGAGAAAGAAGAAAGAAAAAAGGAAGGAGGGAAGGAAAAAAGAGAATGAGAGAAAGGAGGGAGTGAGGAAGGGCAGAAGGAAGGAAGGAAGGAGAAGGGAAAGAGGGAGGGAGGGAAAAATGAAGAAGAAAAAGAAAATCAGGTTGGGCGGAAGAAAGGGAGGTAGGAAAAGAAAGAGAGAAGAAGAAAAAGAAAATCAGTCTGAGCGTGGTGGCTCACACCTCTAATCCCAGCACTTTGGGAGGCCAAGGTGGGTTGATCACCTGAGGTCAAGAGTTTGTGACCAGTGACCAGCCTGGCCAACTTGGTGAAACCCCATCTCACTAAAAATACAAAAATTAGCTGGGCGTGGTGGCAGGCGCCTGTAATACCAGTTACTTGAGAGGCTAAAGCAGGAGAATCACTAGAACACAGTGGTGGAGGTTGCAGTGAGCAGAGATGATGCCACTGCACTCCAGCCTGGGTGACAAGAGCCAAACTCCATCAATAAAAGAAAAGAAGAAAGAAAGAAAGAAAATCAGCCAGACGTGGTGGCACTCGCTTGTAGTCCCAGCTATTCAGAAGGCTGAGATGGAAGGATTGCTGGAGCTCCAGAGGTTGAGGCTGCAGTGAGCTGAGATCGCATCACAGCCTGGGCAATATTAATTAACTGTTGTTTTTTTTTTCCTGAGACTGAATTTTGCTCTGTCGCCCAGGCTGGAGTACAGTGGTGCGATCTCAGCTCACTGCAACCTCCGCCTCCCTGGTTCAAACGATTCTCCTGCCTCAGCCTCCCGAGTAGCTTGGCTTACAGGCGCACGCCGCCAGGCCTGGCTAATTTTTTGTATTTTTAGTAGAGATGGGGTTTCACCACGTTGGCCAGGCTGGTCTTTAACTCCTGACCTGGTGATCCACCCGCCTCCGCCTCTCAAAGTGCTGGGATTACAGGCGTCAGCCACCAGGCCCGGCCTAATTTTTTTTTTTTAATCGTCTCTGTAAGGATAATGGAGATTTTTTTTTTTTTTTTAATTGTCTCTGTAATGGAGATCATTACGGGGGGAATTTCTGCACAACCCCTGGGTCACTAGTTCTCCAAGATTTGGGGGTGAAGAAACTGAATTCAGATACTGTCCAAGGACCTTATTCCAGAACATCTCCGGTTATAGGAGATAGCTGGGTTAGCGACGTGGGGGATCAGGTGTTAGCAAAGCCATCCAGAGACTTCCTCCATGAAACCTGGAGGGCTCCTAGCAGGGCCAAGGCCATGCATGGGCTGCCTCTTCAGTGGAAAGACAGACATGCCCCGTAACCGCATTGGTGCCTGCTTTGCTACAGCATCCCTACCCTCTTTTTCGGTGTGCTTTCATCGAGTGCTGAGGGAGACGACAGCTTCCACAAGAATTCCTCCCCGGCGGGCCTTTCCTCCTGCCTCTTGCAGCCCAGCCATCTTCCCTCAGCCCTCAAGTCCCTCGAGAGTTAGCCTCCCGCCCAAAGCGCTCCTTCTGCTCTGATTGGTTCTCCCCGAAGCCTTCGGCCAATGGGGATGACGTATTCCGGGGGACGTAGGCCCGAGGGCTCGGGAGGAGGAGGGGCATCAGGCTCCGCGACGCACCGGGAGCGAGGGTGGTGGCACGAGGTGTGTGGCGCTGGCCGCTTGGCCCCACGACCCTCGCTATCACCACCACTCGGTGCATGTGGGTGCTGAGGCCCGCAGAGATACAAGGGCACCAGGGGCCGCCTGCAAAGTCTGTGCTGTCGGAGGTGGCGGTGACGGGAAGTCCTGAATTTGGGCCTCCGGGATCCCCACGCTCCATACCCAGAATCCCTCGCGCCTAGAAGTCTTTCTTCAAAGGAGTTGAGCCAGGGCGTCCAAGCGTGCGGGGCACCCCGCTGTGCAGGGCTCTCCCTGAAGCCCTGTTTTCTCCGCAAACCCCGATTCCCTTGCTTCTGGACGGGGAGGTGAAGCACTCAGCTGCTGGCCCACCTGCGCTTCTTTGCTCAGCCTTTGGACTCAACCTTGGACACTGAGAGGAAGCAAAGCAGGCTGGACAGAGGACAAGCACAGGGAGGACAACAGGAGCAAAGTAATGCAAAGCTATTCCAGGTTGGGTCTCGGGGCAAGGCCGGGCGCTCGTGGATGGGAAGCTTCCCCAGGGCCCTTGCAACAGCTGCCATCCTCCATCCGCATCTCTCTTACTGGGATGGGGATTGATTGAGCCTGGCTTCTCTTTTTTATCCACATCTGTCTTACTGGAATTGAGCCTGTATATGTGTGTGTGAGAGACGGAGCCTCAGGCTGGAGTGCAATGGTTCTATCTCGGTTCACTGCAACCTTCGCCTTCCGGGTTCAAGCGATTCTCCTGCCTCAGCCTCCTGAGTAGCTGCGGTAACAGGCGCGTGCCACCATGTCCGGCTGATTTTTGTGTTTTTGTAGAGACGGGGTTTCACCACGTTGGTCAGGCTGGTCTTAAACTCCTAACCTCACGTGATCCGTCCGCCTCGGCCTCCCAAAGTGCTGGGATTACAGGCTTGAGCCACCGCGCCGAGCAGGAGGCTGTCTTAATTTACCTTTTCACTCCTCTTTCCTGATAGTTTTGACGTGAATTGTTCGGACCCTCAGTGCCACCTGATAGAAAACGGCATTCCAGGAAAGGAACACAGCTGTGCAGTGAGTGTGGGGGTTTCGGTGCTAAAAAGCTGTACATAAGCCTTAAGTCAGAATACTCAGTTTGTTTTGGAATGGGTAAAATGCTTAACTCTCCTTGCTCCATTGTTAGCCTGGTAATTAACTATACAAACCTAAAGGCCAAATTATTTGCCCACTGCGAGGGTCAGTCAGGCTTGCTTTGGTCAATAACACGCAGCCATGGTTCTGTGAGAGACCTTCCGGCAGAGTCAGAGGCTTCTCTTCTTTATTGTGCACCCTCTGCTGGTGTGATAGAGTGAGCTCAGGGTGCATACGACTTACTAGACATGATTTTATACCCATTATTGTTTCCTTAAAAGTGTTAAATTGAAGATTACACCCGTGGAGCTGGGATGTGGTGCTCAGAAAGAATACGAGTAGTCAGCATTGTAGCAGTTGAGTCTCAGTGGTAATGGAAATGAGGAAGGCTGAAGGATAATAATAGCTATACCATTTAGGACATGGTAGTTATTTTGTGCCAGGCACTTACTATGCTAAACAATTTTACCTTCATTGACTCATTTAATGTTTAAACAACCCTACAAGTTAAGTACTATTATTCCCATTTCATGGATAGGAAAGTGAGACTCAAGAGAAATTAGGTCACCTGTGTGAGATTATACAGCCAGGCTAATAAATAGAGCCAAGACCCAAGCCTAGGCTTATCTCTGAGCTCCCACATGTAACCACTATGATAATTTTCTTTCTTGAGATATCCTTGGCACAATTTCTGGGCTGGTTTCCTCAACTATATTATAATAGATACCATTATCTCTTACTTTCAAATTTCCCCTGCCATTTAAAAGACAAAAAACAAATTAGATATAACCGTGCCTCTGAAATGTATTATCTCACCTACAGGAGTCTGATTTGTGAAAACCTAGAAGGTTTGTTTACAGTCTGCCAATATGTGCTCTCCTGCCAGTCCCAAAATCCTATACAGGAACCCCCGGTTCCTCAGGTTAGCTTTTCTGCAGCTTCATAACCAGCAGCAGAGTGGTGTGTTCTGTGATGTCCTTCTGCAGGCAGAAGGTAAGAGACTGGTGGGAATTCAACTGAAAACTCACTATAGACTAAGATAAAATGAGTTCAGGGCCAGAGGGTAAAGGACAATATCAGCAAAATGTTACTGCCTTTGACCACTGTAAACTATTTGGTAAAGGGCTGTTTGTTTCTAGGACAATTACTACGGTTTTCAAGAGTGAAATTGTGACTGTACTTCTTTCTCTTAAATAATGAATCTAATTGTAAAGTTTTATAAGCAGATAAGATCTATATAACATGGATAATATTCTAATGGGATGGTTGTGAAGATTAACATGTTAAGTACTTAGAACAGTACTTTTAATACACTTACCACAATATGTGTTAGATGATACTATTCTGTTTTCTTTTTTTGAGTCTTACTCTCTAGCCCAGGCAGGAGTGCAAGGCGCAATCACAGCTCCCTGCAACCTCTGCCTCCCAGGTTCAAGTGATTCTCATGCCTCAGCCTCCTGAGTAGCTAGATTACAGGCATGCACCACTATGCCCAGCTAATTTTTATATTTTTAGTAGAGATGAGGTTTTGCCATGATGATCAGGCTGGTCTCAAACTCCTGGCCTCAAGTGATCCACCTGCTTCAGCTTCCCAAAGTGCTGGGATTACAGGCGTGAGCTACCACATCCGGCCTCATTTTCCCATTTTCTTGCCAAGCTATTAATTTTTTAAATCTTCAGATTGAGGATTTTTGTTGTCTGATGCTGGAACTAAAAATTTATAGCTTATTTCCACCCCTTTGCTTCACACTGGAAATGTTAATTCAGCATGAAGTAGACCCTAATATATAATGTACAAGACCCTAGATTAGGAGTCACAGTTTACTAAGTAGATTCTGATATTTAATGTACAAGGCCCAAGACTCGGAGACAGTTACTTAGTAACTGTCAAATGGGCAGGTAACTTTATCTCTCTGGGACTCAATTTCTTCATTCATAAAAAAGGATTATGATCACCAGTATTGTATAGCACTCTACAGTTGGTGGAGTACATACAATATAGTGTCTCATTTGATTCTAACAGCCTTGTAAGAAAAGTCATAGCTATAACTCAATCAAGACAGTTGCAGGTGGGCAAAAAAAAAGAAAAGAAGAAAAGTCATAGCTATATGGTTCCAGTTCAACAGATAAGTGAGTTGAGGACTACAGTTAAGTGACTTGCCTGTTGTATGCTAAACACTGTGCTAGGGTGGTCATATAAAAGTTCCTCTTCTTAAGGAAATCTTATAAGGGGGAGACAGACATTCAAGTATCCAGTGCATTCAAGTAACTGTGTGATATATTAAAAATATAATTGCGGAGGGGGCAAAAAATAAATAAAAAATATATAATTGGGTAAGTATAGGCAGACTTAGGAGTCAAAAAGAGGAACATCCTTCACAGACTTGAGAAGACTGGAGGACAAGGGTTAGGGAAGTTTTCTTGGAATAACCCTTAGGTGAGATCTGAAGGACAAACAAGTGGGAGGAAGCAGGGAAAGATTTTTCCTGGCAGAGAGCAGCATGTACACAGGTTCAGAGATGTGACCAGGGGTTTGTTCATTATTACTAGAGCACAGACTATAAGAGGTGTGTTGAACAGAGAGGAACAGAGAAATTAGTAAACATGTTAGGTCTGATGGGTCATGCAAAGGAAGTAGGTATTTTTTTAGGACACTGGGAAACGTATTGAACAGTTTTATGCAGGAGGTTATGATCTGATACCTCCTTTAGAAAGAACATTCAGGCCAGGCACGGTGGCTCAAGTCTATAATCCCAGCACTTTGGGAGGCCGAGGCGGGCAGATCACGAGGTCAAGAGATCGAGACCATCCTGACCAACATGGTGAAACCTCGTCTCTACTAAAAATACAAAAATTAGCTGGGCATGGTGGCATGTGCCTGTAGTCCCAGCTACTCGGGAGGCTGAAGCAGGAGAATTGCTTGAACCCGGGAGGCGGAGGTTGCAGTGAGCCGAGATTGTGCCACTGCACTCCAGCCTGGAACCTGGCGACAAAGTGAAACTCTGTCTCCTAAAAAAAAAAAAAAAAAAAAAAAACATTCAGTCACTATTGGTTCCTGCGCCTAGATAGGCAGGTATTTCGTAATCCAGGAGAGCGGGGATGGTGGCCTGAACTGAGGCACTGAGAAGAGAAAAATATGAGCTATTAAAGAGAATTTACAAAAGTTGCTTAAGTGGTTAAGGGCATAGACTCTGTAGCCAGACTGTCTGGCTCAATTTTTTTTTTTTTTTTTTTTTTTTAAGAGACAAGTTCTCCCTGTTTCCCATGTTAGTCTTGAACTCCTGCGCTCAAGTGATCCTCCTGCCTTAGCCTCCCAAAGTGCTGGCATTACAGGTGTGAGCCATTGCGCCCGGCCTTGAATTCAAATTTTGTCCTGGCTGCTTTGCAATTGTAGGCATATTTCTCAACTGTGCTGCAGTTGGCTCATTTATAACAACAGTAGCTACTTTACAGGGTTACATTGAAGATTAAATAAATATTGGTAAAACAATTAGAACAATGCCTGATGATACATAATAAGGACTCAACAAATATTAACTTTAAAAAATACCTGATATTTAATTAGAAGCTGGGCACCGTTGCTCATCCATATAATCTCAGCACTTTGCGAAGCCAAGGCAGGAGGATCACTTGAAGCAAGTTCAAGACCAGCCTAGGCAATGTAGTGAGACCTTGTCTCTAAAAAATAAAAATACCCAGGCACAGTTGCAATCCCAGCACTTTGCGGGGGCCAAGGCAGGCAGATTGCTTTTAGCCTAGGAGTTTGAGACCAGCCTGGGCAATATGGCAAAACCCTGTCTCTACTAAAAATATAAACAGTTAGCCAGCTGTGGTGGTATATGCCTGTAGTCACAGCTACTCAGGAGGCTGAGGTAGGATAATCACCTGAGCCAGGAGGTTGAGATTGTAGTGAGCTGTGATTTTGTCACTATGCTCCAGTTTGGCTGACAGTGATACCCTTTCTAAAAAAAAAAAAAAAAAAAAAAAAAAAAACCTGATATTTAATTAGATGTGATGGTTAAGGGACGGAAAATTAAAAATGACTTATGGTGAAAACTGGGTGAATATGATGCCTTACTTTGAAGTAGAAAATGGGAGAGGTTTTTTGGGGTGGGGAATGATAAGTTCATTTTCTGGAGAAGTTCCACTGAAGTTGCTTGGAAGGCATATATGTAGATATACCAGCTGTGGTATGTTTATTCCCTCAGGAAAGAGATCTAGGTAGAGGTATGGACCTAGGAATCATCAGCAAGCCTTGTGTAATTAAAGCCATGGGGGAAATGAAGTGAGATTGCCTGGAAAGTGCCCATAAAATGAGATATTTAATAGGCACTGGCTCTTAACTCTGGTAGAGATTCTAGCTCAGAACCCAGACCACTGCCTACGAGCTCAGCAGATAATTGAACCCTGATTGTCTACCTCCAAAGCTCTTTCTGTGAGACCACAAGTTGCCTCTATAAAAGTTTTTGAACTCTTGTGTGAGTCAATAAAATTAAATTCAGCAAGAAGGATGATACTCTTGTGTCAGGTACTCAATACATCTCAGTGAGAAGGACAGACATGGCTGCTGTCCTCACAGAGTTACAGCCTAGTGAAGGAGAGGGATAATTCCAATATAGATAGGTAAGAGCAATGATAGCTACAGAGTACCTCTGCCCCAGGAGCACCTAACTCAGACTTGCGGCGGGGTGGAGAAAGGCCTTTTTTTTTTTTTTTTTTTTTTTTTTTTTTTTTTTTTTTTTTTTTTTGAGACAGAGTCTCACTGTGTTGCCCAGGCTAGTCTCACATAAAGTGCTGGACTCAACCAATCCTCCTGCCTTAGCCTCCCTAGTAGCTGGGATTACAAGCACGTGGCACTGCATTCAACCCCAGGGGAAGGCTTTCTGAAGGAAACAAGTTAGCCAGGCAAAAGGTAATGGCAGAAGGTTCCAGACAGGCAGAATAAATTTTTTCTTTTACTTGAAGTCCCCATGGAAAGAAAATAAGAGAAGGGACAGTACATTTTAGTAATGTCTATGCTTAGCCCATGAACATGCCAGTCTACATTAGATAACAAAAGTATTTGGGTTTCCCTTCAGGTGAGGCAGTTCCAGCTCACTGCTGCATCCTGTCGGCTTGTAGCCCCTTCTTCACAGAGCGCCTGAAGCGGGAGAGACCAGCTCAGGATCAGAAGGTGGTGCTGGAGCTGGGTGGCCTGAAGATCAGGACACTTAGGAAGCTGGTGGACTTCCTGTATACCTCAAAAATGGAAGTATCTCAAGAAGAAGCCCAGGATGTGCTATCTGCTGCCCGTCAGCTCCGTGTGTCTGAGCTGGAATCCCTTCAGCTAGAGGGTGGAAAGTTAGTGAAGGCCCCACAGGGCCGAAGACTCAACCGAGAATGCTTACAACCAACAAGTGCTGCACCCATCTCAGCCAGAGTGGTGACACCCAGCCACCACCCTCACACCGCACTGCCTGCTACTCAGACTCTTTGTCCTCTTGGGGCAGTAAGATTGAAGTCTTTGGGGAAGGAAGAGGAGCCCCAGGAGAACAACCGACAGAATTCAGACAATTTGTCTGACACTCTTCTGCTCAAGAGGAAGGCCAGAGCCTGCCCAACTCTGCAAGAAGAAAGCTCTTCATCATCAAGCCACAGTCAAGGGCCTAGAGAATGCAAAAATGTCACTGCCCTTAATCCTACAGTGCTCTCCCCATCCAGCTTGTACCCCTCTGTGGACAAACACCTGTTGCCCAGAAAGATCAGGCTAAGTCGCTCAAAGCCATCGCCTGATATCTGTACATCAAAGCCTTCCAGCATTTTAAGTGGATCTAGCTCAGTGCCTGCAACCCCTGGCCGGCGTCTTTGGCGGCAGAGAAGTATAAGTAAAGAAGCACCAGAGAACAAGCCAAAACCAGGGAGAGCTAGTCCTCTAAAGAGCATCCCAAGTCCATCCGGTCTTGGAAAGACAGGTGGGAGCAAGAAGCATAGCCCTGATGTCAGGGCACCTAATGCAGAGTCTGCAGAGGAAGGGCAGGTTGGGAGAGTTAAACTTAGGAAGATTGTCAATGGAACTTGCTGGGAAGTGGTGCAAGAGCCTCCCCTCAAAAACTCTCAAAATAGTCCCCAGATCCCAGATCCCGGAGGAGACTTCCAAGAGCCTTCAGGAACTCAGCCATCCTCTGGTAATGAGCAGGAAATGTCATCTACTAGAACAGAACTGTGTCAGGACTCCCCCATATGCTCTAGGATACAAGACATTCTGGTCTCTGCTAGTGAGTCCCCAGATCACCCAGTGGTGAAGTCAGAGTTTGGATCCAGTCCAGAACTGGTTAAGAAGGAACCTGTGTTGGCTATTGACTGCAGAGAGCCCTATACATTTGACACAGGCCTGCTGGAGCAGCCCTGTGAGGCTGAGGAGTACCGAATCACAAGTGCTGCTGCCACCAGTGAGCTGGAGGAGATCCTGGACTTCATGCTCTGTGACTCAGACATTGAACCACCTGGAGAGTCTCTGGAGAGTCCCAGGGCTGAGGGCTGCAGAACCCCTACCTACCATCTGACAGAAACAGGAAAGAACTGGATTGAAGGGGAAGAATGGTGTTTACCAGATATGGAACTCTGGTCCAAGGAGCTCACAGAATTGGAAAAGGAACCTACTGGTGAGAACAAAGAGCCAACTGAGCTCCTTAGCCCCCTTGTCATGCCCTCTGAGGTGAGTGGAGAGGTGCTTTCAGTAGGAGGCCCTTGGACACCAGACCTTGAAATTACTAGCTCCCAGCCACTGGATGGTCAAGAAGACAAACTTAACCATGTCAGCTCCCTTGACCCTCCCGAGAGGTCTTATGGGGACCTCTCACCTCCCTGCTCAAACTGGGTGGAGACTGGACTGGAAGTCTCCCTGACTACAGATGAGTTATTGTACCCTTCTCCCAAGGCAGGCAAAGAGGTATCCGGTCACTCTAAACTACTAGGCTCACTTCCTGCCAGCTCTGAAGAGGAAGAGATTGATGTGGTGGACTGGACAGCAGAGGGGAAGCTGGTACCCACTAGTGTTCCCTCTGTATGGCCTGACCCTTCCTCAGAGTCAGAAACAGAGGTAGATATACTAACATAGTGGAGGGGAAGGGGGAGGGGACAGGTTAGGAGCCCTGGGAGGGTGGGAAGGGTTAGCTAGCAAAACACTGACTGGCAGAGAAGCTGGCATATGCCTTGTCCTCTTGGCATAAGAGGCAGATGTACCCCTTGCTCTTTGTAGGTCCCTTCTTCCCCTCCCTAAGCCTAGTGAGCCAGGGAGAAGCCAAGGGTACAGTAGATAGAAAACGATGAATTTGAACCTTATTATTTCTTTGTAATCTGTTTTCCAGTTAGTGACAACTGAAACTGTGTGCTCCCCAATTCCAGTAGGTCATAGGTAAGAGCCAAGGCCAGGTCTCTCAGGTCATAAGGCATCTAGTCAATTTAGGAAAAGCTGAGAAAGAACACCCTCTGTGGTGGGGTACTGTGTAAGAAAATGTTCCAGAGGAAGGTGTGAAGCAGTGTTGGGTGGAATACCAAGTGGGTGGGAGTGATGGATACTGTCTAGCACCTAACATGGGGTTTATTCACTGCCAGTATTGAGAAGTCTAGCTAAAACCTCTGCAGGGGCCAAGAAGATGTACTTCATCATTACTTCCAAAAAGTAAGTTGAAAAAAATATAGATGCTTTTTAAAAAAATAAATTGCTTCCATAATTTTTACAAGTATTTCTCATGTTTTACTAGAGACCCTAAAAGTTCCAGATCAGGCCAGGTGCGGTGGCTCATGCATGTAACCCCAGCACTTTGGGAGGTCAAGGCAAGTGTATCACTTAAGGTCAATTTAGACCAGTCTGGCCAACATGGTGAAACTCCACCTCTACTAAAAATACAAAAAAATATTAGCCAGGTGTGGTGGTGTGCACCTATAATCCCAGCTACTCAGGAGAATGAGGCAGGAGAATCGCTTAAATGTGGGAGGCAGAGGTTACAGTGAGCCAAGAGTGCACCATTGCCCTCCAGCCTGGGTGAGGAAGTGAGACTCTGGCTCTTAAATTTTTTTTTAAAAAAAGTTCCCAGTCACATGGCTATTCTGGGCTGTGAAAAACACAAGGACTACCAACACCACAAGGCTGGCTTTGTCCATCCCTTAACATAAGATTAAATTTTACTCTATTACTCAAATACTTTATTTCAACTTTTATTCAACCAAATCCAGTAACTTTAGCAATGCCTTACTAGAGGGCTGTCTCACAACTGAACCTTCATTTCTGGCGGGGAAGAAACCATGGCTTCAGGCACATGACTGAAGTTTGGCCATGTTCCATCATTAATGTTCCAACACCACCAGGGACATAAAGCTGCAAAAACGAGAAAGGAAATAAGGTTAGAGAAAGGATCCAGGCAATCTTATGTTCCCTAACCCTTGAACTCACAAACCCTGGAGCTCAAGGACTGCATCCTTCCTCCCAATCTCACTCAAGTGCAGAACAACACGCCAAAGCACTGTATGAAGGGCTAGAACAAAGACAAGGTCAAAATATTTGTAACCTAGTGTGATGAGACTGTAGTGCAGTGTTAACACATGCGGCAGTAACAGAACACCCTAGCAGGAAACAGAGTGGAGGGATAAGCATAAATGAACATGAATAAAACTGCAAATGGAAAACTTGTCCATACCCCCCGGGCAACAGTCAACTACATCTTCCAAAGGACGTAACATTGCACTTAGGGCACACTAGATAGAAAACAGTATTTACAGGTCACAGTGGCTCGCGCCTGTAATCCCAGCACTTCGGGGGGCCGAGGCGGACGGATCACGAGGTAAGGAGTTCGAGACCAGCCTGACCAACGTGAAACCCCATCTCTACTAAAATACAGTACTTCACCGGGTGTGTGGTGGTGCGCGCCTGTAATCTCAGCTACTCAGGAGGCTGAGGCAGGAGAATCGCTTGAACACGGGAGGCAGAGTTTGTGGTGAGCCAAGATCACACCACTGCACTCCAGCCTGGGCGACAGAACGAGACTACTCCGTCTCAAAAAAACAAAAAAACAAAAAAAAACCCTTTTTTTCAAATAGGGTCTCCCTATGTTGGTCATCCACTCCCGCATCGACCTCCCAGAGTGCTGAGATTGCAGGCAAGAGCTACCCACGCCAGGTGGGTACTTGTAGCCACACCAAGATCAATCCCTTCTCTTCCTCAACAACGGCCGCCCCGCCCCCCGCTTCCCATTTCAAACCTCAGCATGAGGACTTCTACCCAAATCTCACTACGACAGGTACTTCTTCAACTCTTCCACCACCTCTTGAGGCTCAGGGAATTTGAGTTTGCGCGGGGGCCCCTTCTTAATCCCAGTCCAGAGCTCCGCACCTGCGAAAGGACAGCAGGAAGCGAAATCCTACTACAGGTACTTCGCAAGTCACGAGCACGTCTCTGAGTCAAAAGATTGCTGCTGTTTCAGAGAACAGCGCTTCCTCTCTTCGGAACCCACGCCCCTCTCCCCCACACCCGGGTCCCCACTCACTGCTGCCGTCCGGGCGCAACAGCGTCACCTCGAAGCTGCCCCTCCGGGGCTTGGCTGGGTTCACCTTTACTGGAAGTTCTGGGGCTTCCAGGCGCAGCGCCTGGCTCAGGGCCGCGGCGTTGCGCCCATAAACGCGTCAGCTAGTGCTAGGGAGAGACTGGGAGGTGAGAAACCGCCCCTGGCCCGCGGCGCTACCGTCCCCTCTCCCCCGTTACTCTCCAGGGCCCTCACCAATGCTCAATAACAATGGTCGCCTCCTCCACTCCCTCCCCGCCGTTCGCCAGCTTCTCTCGCTTCTCGGTCGTGGCGACCACCGCGGCCTCAGCCTTCCGCTTCCTCCCGCGGGGAGCCATGGCGCCTAGGGCCGGGCTGAGAACGCAGCGGACCTGCTGGATAGGGGGCGGAGACGCGACCACTAAGCGGTAACCCGGCAGCGAAGAGTCCGGCTCCGCGGCGCAGCCCGGAAGCTCAGCTCCCACAGCGGAAACCTCTCCCCAAGGAGCGGAAAGCGTGGTCCGCAGCGCCCACGTGGCCTGGAGGCGGACCTTAGGGCACAGCCACTTTGCATCAAGGGAACGGGGAGGTACGGGAAGCGCCCGACGGAACCACCCACCACTTCGGGTCGAGGGGACAGGGGATGCTGGGATGGTGAACACAGCAGGAAGGGTCGGAGACTAGGTAGGTCCGACCGCAAGCCTTGCTTCACGCAGTCTTTTACCTTTGCGTTCCGCTAAATGGTGTGTGTCACGATCCACCGCCAAACTCTCCTCCCTGGCATCCGGGGACCAATCCCAAACCAACCCCCCACCTAACAACGTGTGGCCCCTATTCAAGGCTTATGGAAACTAGCCTTCTTCAACTCTTGCCAATCCTGGGGATCAATGATGCGCATTTGGTGAAACCAAATAGGATGGCCTTTGACGTTAAGATGGGCAGAGTTCCTCAGAAGTTGCCAGGCTTTTCGAATACAGAAACACACAAAGGCACAATCAAAAGGAAATCCCAATCTTTTTATTATGGAAAACCATCAACTGGGTGTGGGGAGTTGGTCAGAGTGGTTAAAGTCCAGTGGATTTCTCCTCCAAGTCCTATCCCACAAAGGAACGTCTCAAGCCTCTATTCAGCCTTTCTCAATCCCCACAAAATAAGGGGATGTTCAATATTGTCTTCAATGATTAAAAACTTGTGGTTAACGGTTTCCCCTTAGGACTAGTGACAAAGTTAGGCTTATACTTTTAATGAAGGCCATAAACAAGCCAGGGTCCTTGAGGGAAAATTCTTAGTGTTCTATACCCCAGCATCTTACCTTAGGGTTAAATCTAGGTCTAACTAAGCTGTGCAGGTCGGCTAAAATGGAATAATGAAACCAGTTTCAGGGAGAAACCATGGAGATGTCTGAATCGTTGATAAGAGTTAACACACTGGCCCAAGCTTGAAGGGAAACCATTTTCTCCTCTACCATGAGATCTCTTTCTTGCTCCAGTGAAACAGTTGGCCCACAGCATGGCAGGCTTTCTTGTAGGGTGCCTGACAATTCCCTAGATGCCTCTTTAAAAATCAGAAGCAGCACCCTGCCCCACCCAGTCACAGCCAAACGGAAAACATAAATAAAAGGCTGTAGCCTCAGGCTTGTGGTTATGGAAGGAGCCTGGAATTGACAGGAAGCACTGCCAAGGTAAGGATCTTATTTGTCCTTCTTGCTTTCCCCTTCTGACACGCTGGTGGGGCTTGGGGCCACAGGCTGCTCCTCGGGGATATTGTCTCCAGCCTTTGATAGCTTCTTGGCCCGCTGGTATAGCTCATTTAAGTTAAATTCTCGGATCACATTCTCCTGCACAAAAGAGATGCACAACATCAGGATCTGGGGTTGGAAGGGAGAGTAAGGAGCCTGGGAAGTTATAGGTATTTTACACATAGTCTGGGAAAGAAAGGAGTAAGCAAAGGACAAAAATCTGCCCTAACCTTCCTCTTTTTTAGGTACCCAGAAAAGTCAACTAATAGTTAAGTAGCCCTTATATGCCAATCACTGTGCCAAGAATTATACCTAAATTATTTAATGTAATCTGCAAAACAATCCTGCAAGCCAGGGGTTATTATCTCCAATTAACTGACAGGGAACCTAACACCTACAGACAATATGTGCAGGGGCCTTCGAGACTGAATCTTATACCTAGAATTGTTCCCCAGTACTAGCAGGTCTGGCACATAATATATATTTGCTAAGCGAATTAATACGTGAGGTCTAGTAACTAGTCCACACCCTCAAAGCTAATGGGTAAATGGCAGAGCTGTGAATCAAACCCAAGTAGGGCTTGAAAGCCCATCTACTGCTCTACACCCTTCATGCACCTGCCCTTTTTTTCAGGTACCTCCGAGAAGGTCCATGAGACAGCTCGTCCTTTCTTGTCAATCTGTGGGCGCCGCATTACTTCCTTGCCACCTTGGAACAGGATCAGTGTAGGGAGTTGTTTGGTGAGGGGTGATGTGCTCACTTTGTACCTGCAGGGCCCAGAAAGTTCTTTAAATGCCCCTGTATATATCACTCAAAGTGATTCCCTACTCAGACCCTCTTCCCAGGTCCTTACATACCGTGTACTGACATCAGCATAGCGTCCAACATCCACCTTCCCAAAGTTTAGCCCTGTACAGTTGTACCTGAGAAGAAGATATTATTTAATATATTGAAAAAAAAGAATGGATCAAGGAAAATAGAAATATAGGTATTTGGGAGGTGAGGAGGAGATGCCTTTGGTTGCCATGTGTAAAAAAATCAAGGCCAAATGGGAAAAAAAAAAAAAAATTAAAGCCAAAAACAGTGAAAGGGAAGGCACAGCAT